TCGGAGCATTTTATCCAAGCTGGGGGTCCATTCTCTCCCCTCCACCTTGAGGGGGGATGTTGAAACAGAAGAAGAAGAAGAAGCATCGAAGCAGATGCGGATGAAGCTCTGTTCTCCCAGAAGAAGAAGAAGCATCGAAGCAGATGCGGATGTTGACACAAAAGAAGCATCCAAACAGACCAAACACAATTGCCTCTTGCAATCTAACCTTGACCGTTAGATTAAAAGAGTCTCTGACTCATCTGGGCCATTCATTTGTTAAGTGCCAAGCACATGAGTGAGCACATGCTCACATTTGTATTAGTGCAAATACACTAAAGTGAGTATGGGATCACATAGTAAACAATATACCTTGTCTAGGAATATTATACATACACTTTATATATGTATAGGAGGTAGATGTATATACAAGCAATGGTAGTGAATGTAAAGACAATGAAAATAATCTACATCAGCTCTTTTTCATTCTTTCAGTTATATAGAATAAAACATCAATTGTCAATAAAGGATAAAATATCACGAGTCACAATCAAATCAGTGCGAGGAAAGAAAAGTGATGAAGAGGAATAGAAACTACAGTATATATGATAATTTTGTTCATAGGACTGTATTCATGGGAATATATGCCATCGTAGAAACTAACGTTAAAATAGGCTAAGGTTCTATTAAGCAAACCCCAGGAATCAAAAAAGAAAGAAACACAAACTCAGCAAATCTAAGGCAATTCTATGTTTTAATGGTGCGCACTCATTTCATCGTAGATGCTGTATGTTCTCGGCATATTAGCTTGAAATCGGTCTCTATCATTGTTCTAATCCTAGTATTGAAAGCACAATTCAAATAAGGCGTATATTTGTTGATTTCCCTTTGAGAATTTTGATCTTTTAATTTTGTCCTCCAAGTGAACGAATGTTTTTTTTTTTTTTTCATTTATGGCTTTGATAGACCAATTGGTATAAGCATCCAATACGCTCAATGAAATAATTATGGGCAAAGAACATTAGAAAAAAAGTTGAAGAGTTACGACATTAAATATTGTGTGGTTCATGGATTGGAGATTGATAATTGTGGCATCCATGTCAATCTATCCGTGGAACGAGTTCTACGTCATTCATTTCCCACCATATTCCTCAATCGACACATCATTATTAATATTCTCTTCGAATTTTCTTTTTGGCAAGAAATGGTGTGTCAATCTCATCCTTTCCAACGGCTTTAGCTATTCTCCCAATCTTTAATTCCTTCTGCATTATCTCTAATTAGCTGCATAGTTATAGTATACTTTATCCTTTAGTCTATTGTAATCATACTTCTTTAGGATATGGCTTCAATGGCCGCGATGTCTAGAGTCACTGTATCAATTATACGAATCATATAATTATTTTTTAATGTTTTGTAAAGATAGGAATAAGGCTATATCCAGTTTATTATAGCTTTTGTACGGCCGAGAGCATGCATAAATAAATGGAGAAGTAATATAAATATACGGTCGATGATCACATCACGAAATACTTGTGCGAACTGTAAGAAAAAAAATGAGTAGATAATATTGACTAAGAACAAGAAGGAAAGAACAATTTATAAAAAATATTGTGTCGTGGCAAGCTATTGCTTTGAAAGCGATTTCGGTCCGATTGGGTGCAAATTGTTAAGACCGGTTGTTTCCCAAGGTTCCACAGCTCCTCCAAACACGTGCACTCGTGGTTGGAAGTTTAGAATTTGCACAAAACAGTTGCCCAGTTGCCCAGAAAAAAGAGAAGATGAAGGTATTTTCTGTAACTGTTACAAAAATTAAAATATTGTCGGAAGAAAATAATGATAAGCAAGATGAATTATTGGTTAAGAATTGAGTGAATATGATGGCTAATGATCATCCTATTTATAGGCAATATAGGCAAAGTTGTATGTATGACAAATGTGGAGAGCCTTTTAACATTTGTCCAAATATATTAGTTTACTTGGCTTCAATATTAACAAGTGTACTTATAGCCCGTTTGGCCAAGCTGCAAAAATCAGCTTATTTTGAGAAATACTTATTTTCAAAAGTGTTTTTCTCAAAAGTACTTTTGGTGAGAAGCATTTTGTGTTTGGCTAATTAGTTTGAAAAGCACTTCTGAGCAACAATTAGTGTTTGGCCAAGCTTTAAAAAACTGTTTCTAAATGTATTTTTTTCAAAAGTGCTTTTGGAGAGAAGCTACTTTTTTCTGCTTCTCCTCAAACGAACTTTTTTTCCTTCCAAAAGCTTGACCAAACACCTCAATTTTTGGCCAAAAGTATTTTTTCGCAAAAAAAAAAAAAAACTTTT